TCCAAATTAACTCATTTAGGCATGGTTGTAGATTTTTCTTATCTCTATTTCGTGGTGATATGGCGTCTTTGAACACGCGCCAGTGAGCTTCTATGCCATTTGTGTGCATGATTTTAATCAATCCTGTTTCAGGATCATAATCCGTTTCAGTCATCCCTTTACTATAGTTAATAGCATGATGTTCCATTCCAAGTTTTCCATAAATGTTTTGATATCCTTTCCACATATCTGAATATATGATCGATTCTGGGTGTATATATTTCCAGATATAGTATATCAAGGTATTTTGTATTCTATCTTTTACGATTGTTGCAAATAATTTTTTTTCCTGAGTTCTTTCTACTCCTCTGAATACCCATACGGCTGTTCCGTCCTTCTTTTTATAGAATCGTGACTCATCTATTTCTACAATGATTCCGGGTCCTCCGATCTTGTTATCTGTTTCTAAAATCTGACAATTGATAGATTGTCTTATTATCTGAATCCATCGTGTGATCGTTGTCTTTGCTAATCCTGTGAATGAACATATTGTTCCATGTTTTGCTTTGATAAGCCATAAATAGGCGATTTTCAGTACTTCATTGCTTCCAAGTTTCGAATTCATGAAAATCGTTCCATTCATTAAAGATATTTTCTTTTGGCAATCCCGTTAGTACATCAGAATTCCTTATTTGAGTATAACTTCATCGGTTTTGAGCACTGTAAACAGTTAATTTCTTTAGGGAGTATCGATTTCTCTTGTAAGAGTTTTATACATAGTTCTTCATTCTGAAAGTATTGTTCCAATTCTTGATACGTGGGTACTTTCATCCTTAATTTATCCGTTTTTGTTTCTTTCTAGGATTCGTAAGGTATAAGTCTTATAGGGGTTCCTTTTATACTTTCTTCATATCTTTGTAGATCTCTTCTTTATCTTTTACTCCTATTTTTAATATGACTGTTTGTGTTCTGTCCTTATCAATTCCCATATGTCTTGATAAGTAATCGGCTACACTATTATCCTTTTCTTTAATTCGTTCAACAGTCCAATTGAAGTCTTGTAACTTAATTAACCATTTTTGCATGGTATCGTTTCTAACCATTTTTCCTGAGGCATCTGATATTCCCGTGTTATCAGTTCGTACTATTATTGGTTTGTTTCTAATATAATGTTGCCAGTTCGTTAGGTAATAATATATCGCAAATAATTCTTTTTGAGTTGATCCCCATAATCTTTGCATTGGTAATAAGGATTTTGATCCAAATTCTATAATTTCTTCTTTGGATTTCGTAGGTTCAGTTTCTTTACCTTTTCCTCTAGCATCTTTAGTTTTGTAATGTGCTAGTTCTGGGTTTATTTGTTTTAATACTGCTCCAATTCCATTATCTGAAACGTCAGTTTCCAATATAAGTTGATATCCCTTCTTTGGATATGTTAAAGCTATTGCATTTTTTACTTTTTCTTTTAACGTTTCAAATGCATTTTGGCAATCTTTGTTCCAGTCAAATTTTGCATTTTTCGGTAATAGTTTATAAATCGGCTCTGCTATTTGTGCAAAATTCTTAATGTATCTTCTAAAGTAGTTCATAAATCCTGTAAATGATTGTACTCCATGGACGTCTGTTGGTATTTTTAACTTGTCACATTCTTTAATTTTAACTTGATTTGGGTGTATCTTTCCGAATTCAACTAAATGGTTCAGAATTAAAGTTTGTTTTACCCAAAATTCACATTTGTCTGGTTTCAGGCTCATGCCCACTTTTTCTATGCATTCAAATACCATTTGAAGATGTTTAAAATGTTCTTCTTCCGAATTACTTGCTATTGTCATATCATCCATATATATGTATACAAAAGGTAAGTCTCTAAATATCTTATACATGTATCTCATCATATATGCTGGTGCCATTTTTAGTCCCATAGGCAATACATTCCATTCAAATTTTCCTTTCCTAGAAAGAATACTGTTGTAAGATGTTTATCTACTTCTCCAAGCTTAAATTGATGATAAGCTGCTGTAAAATCTAATGTAGAGAATATTTTATGTTTCGCTAAGTTTTGTAACATAGTATTTATATGTGGTATTTTATAAGGATCATCTTCTAAATATTGATTAAGTTTTGTGTAATCTACTGCTACTTTATATGATCCATCTTTCTTTTGAATAATAACTAGTGGTGATACCCATACTGCTTTCGATAGTCTAATAGAATCTTGTTTTTGTAGATCTTCAAATAATTTATTTGCTTGTTCTATTTTATCTTCTGAGTATTGTCGCAGTATTCATGCCTTGTCTTGAAATGGTATTTCTTTTTCATCACATTTTAATGTCAAAGTTATTGGTTCAAAGAACTTCTCATTAAATGTAGTTGCTTTTTCATTTTTTCTTCGAAATATATTAATAAATTTCTTGAATAATGGTGCCATTTGAGTTTTATATTCTTGATTGGTATAACATAGTATTCCTATACCTAATGTTGGTATAATATGTTTTCATATTTCATTTGGTATATGAGCTAGTTCATGGTGTATTATCATTTTACTGTTTCTTACTAATTGTGGTTAATATTGTAATAATTTGATATTGAATATTTCTTTTTCAATTATTTCATATATTGTCCACCAACCATTTTGGTTTTTTCTTCGTATTTCATTTTCTTTGGTGAGGTGTGCTTTTCCAAGTTTTTCATTTTGTTTGATTACTTTACAAATTTGGCCTTTCTGTACTGTACAATTATAACACCAAATATAACATTTTTCTACTACGTCTGTTTCTTGGTTATATTCTCATTTCCATAACTTATAGTCTACATCATTTTGCCATTTTTCTAATTTTACTTTGGCTTCTTCTTTTTGTACGTCTGTTAAACTATCTTGCATTTCTTTAAAGCATTCTGGACATGTTCCTCCTAATAGGTCTTTGGGTGAATAAGTATAATAACATTCTGAATATAATTGAGTTAATCCTCGTTTTTCTGTTATCATCATAGCATTAGTTCTAGTTGCATCTATAGGATAATCCTTCTTCCTTTGTCTTTCTTGGAATGAGGCTTCGAGAGCTTGACTTAAAGATGTTTCCATTACTTCGTATGTACTTTCATCTTCTGAGTAAAGAGTTTCTTCTCTATAGTATTCTCTTATATCATCATAGTTTTGGTAATTGTATCTATCGGTGATGGTGTTAATCTTCATTTGTCTTATTATCTCTTGGTTTTCAGGAGTAATCCATTCTTCTTAAGGGTAATTTTTGAGAAATTCATAAAGTCTTAGTATTTTCAATTCATTTATTGCTTCGTTATTATATACAGTTCTAGTATATTCTTGAATTCTCTTTGTTATTACTGTTTTTGTAGAGTATTTATGACAATAAAATATTTCAAATGCTACTTTTTCTTCTTTATCACAAAAGTAATTGTTAGTATAATCATTTGTCATATGTCTTTTCTAATTTTCTTTTGAACAGATAGTACATTTCTTAAAGTTAGTTCTTTCTAATCTAGTTTCTTTATATTGTACTGCTCCTATATCATCTATTGATAGGTGTTTCATATATTCTTGGTAACATCTTTTACAAACAATATGATCTTTAAGTTGTTGCGTATAGTAGTCCAATGGATTAATATATGTTCCTTTTGATAACAAAAATATATCCTTGGTAATAATGCTATAACAATTTTCATTGCAACAGTGATAAATATTTTTTCTAATCTTTCTAACTTTTTCTTTGCTGCAACTGCATTTTAAAGTTTTGTTTTCTTTGAGAAGTTTAGTCATTAATTTATCTGGGTCGATAAATTTTCCTTGTTCATTATATTCTATTTTTTCTATTTCTTCTAAAGTTTCATTTGGAGTTTCTAATCACATTTCTGGTTAGATATCCTTTGAGCTTCCTTCTTTTGGATCATAGGTGGTTTCTTTAATTATAGTTTGTTTCCTTTGGAATTCTTTATTTTCTTCATTTATAGTTTTTAAGTTTCTATTAACTAGAATCATTTTGTTAGTATAGTCTCGCGCTTGATGTTCTAGTTGTTTACATTTCCAACATTTGTTTTGAGGACATTTTCTATTGATGTGACCTTGTTGGTTACAAATTCCACAAATGAAGCGAGATTTATTCTTCTCATATTCTTTTTCATCAAAAAAGTTTCCTTTAAGAATTGGTTTTCTTCTTAGTTGACTTAATGGAAATCTCCTTTGACAATTATGATTCCTATTAGTTAAGGCTCCATATTTTTGGCATTGATTTCTTTTTTCAAAATGAACTTTCTTTTCCAGTTCTTGGAATTTAGAACACTCATGGTCTTTTTTGACTAAAATTTTACATTCAAGGCAGAATAATTGAGAGTCTTGTTTTTGTTCTTGATTCTTAGTTCCTTTAACGACTGATGCAAAAGTTTTCTTTCCTTTTTCTTTATTGTTTCTTTGAGATTGTTGTTCAATGTTAGGAATTTTCTTGATAATAAATTTTTGATTTTCTTGCCTTTGCCATTCATTGATCTTTTGATTTTTCTTTAATTTCTATTCTTTGAATTCAATCAATTCAGTTTGGTCAGGATATCTTTCTTTCAAATGTTCCAGCCATTTGTTTTGGGGTCCAGTTAATTGGCAAATTTCGCAAGTCTTAGATTCCATTTCAGTATTTCGGGATTTCTTGTCGAAGTTTGTTTTCAGGGTTTCTTAAGATTTATCTGTTATGTTTTGGATATCTTTTTGATCGTTTGAATAAAGTTTCTTTTATAGAAGTTTCTTATCTTGAATTATCATTGATCAACAATAAATTTTTATTCTGCATCGTCACTGTTACTCGTATGACCTAGTGATTGTAGATTATTTATATAATCTGTATCATGTAAACATTCTAGGAGTGCGTTCCAGATATTTTTGCCTTTATTCTGTCTTCTCCAAATTAACTCATTTAGGCATGGTTGTAGATTTTTCTTATCTCTATTTTGTGGTGATATGG